CCAGTCACTGCTCGACATCTCGTATGCCGTCTCTTAGTGAAAAAAAAAAAAAAAAAGACAGTGCCCTCCCTGGTGGCGCAACGGGTTAAAGCACAGCATTATGGAAGCTAGCCACAGCTCTTCAGCAAGAGTTCGATACTTGGAGCAGCAGATCTCACCTATTGGCCCGCTGCTCCCCTCAGCAGTGTATTTCATCAATCTGCCTGTTCAGCTCTTCACTCTTTGTCTGGTGAATTCTCTCAATGCTCTTGCACCTCTGGCCTATACCACAGTCCTTTATGCATAAATAAATAAAGCTTAAAAAAAAAGTTCAATTATTTTCTTAGTAAATTCACACTAATTACTTCTAGGCAAATACATATACACAAAGGAGAGCATGTAATTTGCATATCACACAGTGTGAAAACGATATATATTTGATTTATGCCAATATAGGGGTGTTTCAAATGTGTGGGGAAAGCTTTGAAGCCATCACCTGATCTATACCTGAGAAAATCCCATCTAATATACTTTCCTTTACAATATTCCTCTGAATTCACTGGAATTGTGCCCAGTTTTCTTGGAATCTGAAATCCTGCCACTAACTTCTGGGATCTTTGTCTGTGATAGGTAGCGATATGTACTCAACTCTACCACTAAAGAGATGTCCAGCTGGGAAAGCAAGTCCAAGGAAGGAAGAAAAGGTGGTTTACTAGCCACTCTCCAGGCCTGTAATGACCCAGACTCCTGCACCTCACTCCTGTGCCTCAAGGTCCAAGGGAACCAACCTCTCAGGCATACAGTTGCAATTGTCTCTGCTGTACACTGACAGGGACCCTCAGAATCCCAAGAAACATTTGTTTAGTCAGTCAGACTTCTGAAAACAAGACTCAGTGTAGGGAAGGTAAACCCTGTGTCTTTTCCTGTCTGTTACATAAATTCAATATTTTTTGAGATTTGGTACAGGGTTCTACAGTCTGTTCAGAGAGTAGTGGTAGTTGTAAATGGCAAGATAGGGACATTTGGTCCTGAAACCTAATTATTAGATTCACCTATGCATGTAAAGTATTTTAGTTATTATCATTCATCTGCTGATTTGCCCCTTTTGTAAGGGAAACAAGTGAAACGGAGACATCTTGATTTTATTAAAGTGAATTTTATATACCCCTCTCAGAGTTTGCAACATCGTAAAAACAAATAAAAAAGGGTAAGCTTGCAAAGTGTCTGTGAGAAATCTGTCTTTTAAAAGTTATGTCAGCTAATCACTTGCTGTTGCTGCTGAAGAATTTGGAGTACACAGCCTTTACACCTGCCTTGACAGTGGTAACAGGGGCAGTGTTAAGACACCATCACTGCCCATAATATTTGCTCACAGAGTAGACTGTTAAGAAAGTCAAAGACTTCCTTCCATGAAGGAGGTTCAGGGTGAGCATAAAACTCATCCTAAAAACTTGCCTAAAAACTGGAGTCCAAGTCTACTTGTTCATATAGAAATACACTATTTCCACAAGTGGAGGGCTGAAATTAGTGTGGTAATGTGTGAATAGAATATTGTTCAAAACAGAATAAAGGACATCAGTACAACTTTTTTTTTTTCATTGATCTGTCAGTTTTGTAGTGTCCTATAATGTAGCTTATTGTATATCTTAAAACAATCAAGTATTTAGACCTACCTTAGAAAATAGAATCAATGTGATTTTTCTAGCTTTAACAGAACACTGAGCAAGATCATATTAGAAATAGTAAATATAACAAGCTGTATCTTTACTCAACAAAATGTTTTCCACCACTCATAACAACATTGGTGTATGAAATTTCTAAAAGACATGGGAAGATGTATACACACACACACACACACACACACACATATATAAACAATAACAAAAAATCAAAATTTATTGAGTGTTTACATGTGCCACACAGTATTTGAAAGTGCTTGTATCCACTAGGTGCACTTAGCTGAAAGTACAGAAAATAAATTGTTCTGGAAAAAAGTTGGGAATATCTAGGATTATATTGTTCTAAAAAAGAGCTAGATTATGGGTTGTCTTAACCCATTGTATTTTAGATTAGTTTAGCTCTCAGAAAAGGATACCTGGTAGTTTCATATAAAAACTAACTGTCGGCCCTCCCTGGTGGCGCAGTGGGTTAAAGCACTGCACTGAGAATCTAAAGATGCTTCCTTGTGAGTTCTATTCCCGCCTGCCCCGGAGGTGACCACATGGCGTGGCAGACCTCTACTGACACGCCTGCTGCTCCCCTCAGCAGTGTACTTCGTTGATCTGCCTGTTTTGCTCCCCACTCTGTCTCTGGTGAAGCCTCTCACCGCCCCTGAGCCTCTGGCCTGTCCCCCAGTTCTGTATGTACAAATAAATCTTTAAAAAAAAAAAAAAAAACGTAACTGTCAAGAGGAAGAAACTATCTCTTGAACATTCCTGATATTCAGTCCTTATATACTCCAAATTCTGTTATGACTATCTCTTCATATTGGCCTACCTGCATGCTCTGCAACTCTGAAGATTAAGAAAAGTATTCTCCAGTTATGTAGGCCTGATTAGATTCCATTCCCCTGGCCACTTCTGAAAACTTTCTGTCTTTAGGAAATGCTATTCATTTGATAAGCTTTTGACTGAAGAGTGAGTAATGTAATAATATGGGGACAATCTCACTACACCTAACAGAAACTACTGGAAGCTGGAAAACAAATGTAATAGCATAAAAGAATGATTCAGATGATGGTCTAGAATTAGGTCCTTTTTTTCTCTGCACAAATTTTAGCCAAACATTTGTTTGTGTACTGTGCTCTTACTGACATTTCACTTATTTAGCTGTGTAAGATAAGAATCACCTAAAATATTTTGCGGTGGCAATTATGAAAATAAGAAAAAAATTGCATTTAATTTCCTTTAAAGCTTGTAATGGAGTAATAATCTTGCAGTCTTTGTTTCTATTAAGTTGGGCTTCACTTCTAATAATGAAAGAACAGTATTAAGGCCCATAATTAAACAGTGATTGGTATTAATTGAAAGTATGTATATATATATGTATATATATATATATATATATATATATAAGATTTATTTATGCATACAGAACTGGAGTGCAGGGGTGGTGAGAGGATTCACCAGAGACAGAGTGGTGAGCAGAACAGGCCGACTGACGAAGTACACTGCTGTGGGAGCCAAACAGGTGGTTCAGGAGAGGTCTGCTCCACCATGTGGGTCACCTCTGGGGTGGGAATGGAACTCATGCTTAAGTGTCTTTAGCTTCTTACTGCTGTGCTTTAACACGCTGCGCCACCAGGGAGGGCCCGGAAGTATGTATATTTTTACTAAACTGAAACTAAAAATATCATTTAAGAGGTAACAGTCTCTGGCATTACCCAGTTACAACGCTCAACACAGATTCTGTCAAAAAAAAAAAAAAAGAAAGAAAGAAAGAAAGAAAGAAAAAACCCCAGAAATAGTTCTAATAGGAATTTTTCCAAACGAATGCAAGCAGAGATATTTGTGACTAACGGCATCTAGCACGTCTCCTGGAATTCGCTGTAGGATACCCCACATTCACTTTCCCTCCTCCTGATATCAAAGATGAAAGTACAACCTTCCGCTTTTAGCGCCAGTTTAAACCGTTTAAATTTCCCAGAATCAGGGTACCCGGATTGAAATTGCTGTCAGATTGACAGGAACTTTGCCCAATAGAATTATAGAGAGGCGTGTCTTTTAGCGGACGTTCCAATCGGCACGCAGAGAGCCGCCATCTCCAAGGTGAAAGCGGAAGTAAAGCCTGGCGCGCCCCCATGGAGTCACTCCTGCAACACCTGGAGCACTTCTCTCAGGCGCTAGCGGTTTCCCGCACTACTCACGTGAGCTCCTGGGACCCGCCGACCGTGCGCAGGGCTTTTCAGTGGGCTCGCTACCTGCGCCACGTCCACAGACGCTTTGGCCACCATGTCCGCATTCGCACCGTGCTGGAACAGCGACTGCTGCTCCAGTGGAAGCGGGAGGGCAACTTCGAACCCGCTCTGTTTCCGGGGTTGACGAACTTCCAGGCCTTGGGACGCTGCGACCTCCTCCTGTCTCTGCGCCTGTTGGAGAACCGGGCCCTCGGGGGTGCAGCCTGTCGCTGCCTGCTGCAGCAGCTCTTCCCTGGCCCTGGCGTCCCAGACGAGGACGACGAGACGCTCCGAGACCGCCTGGCCCGCCTCGCCCGCCTCCGGGCTGCTGTGTACTTGCTGCGCTGCAGCGGGGATAGGGAGAACCGGGTCCTTGAGGACTCACTGATGAGGACCCAGGCGGAGCTGCTGCTGGAGCGGCTGCATGAGGTGCGGACAGCGGACGCGCAGGGCCCCAGCAAGTTTCTCAGCAGCCTGTGGGAGCGCTTGCCGCGGGACAACTTTCTGAAAGTGATAGCGGCCGCTCTGTTGCTGCCGCCGTCGTCCCGACCCCAAGAAGAGGAATTGGAACGGGGCGCCCCCCAAACCTCTGGAGAGGGGGCTCAAGTGCTGGTCCAGTGGCTTCTGGAGAAGTCGGATATCTTGACTACCTTTTGCCGCAACCTCCCTGTTGGGCTTTTAACTTCAGTGGCCGGCTGCCATCCAGACTTGTCCCGCGTCTATCTAGATCTCCTGACGGACTGGGGTCGACTCCTGCATTACGACCTTCAGAAAGGCCTTTGGGTCGCAGTTGAGTCCCAAAATGTCTCCTGGGAGGAGTTACATGGACGGTTTCAAAGCCTCTGTCAGGCCCCTCCACCCCTGAAAGATCAAGCACTAAAGGCCCTCGAATCCTGTAAGGCGCAGGATGGAGATTTCGAAGTCCCTGGTCTTAGCATCTGGACAGACCTGTTGTTAGCTCTGGGGAGTGGTTCATAAAATTGCATGTAGCTAAAGAAAGACATTTTAGGTCTCAGCCCTCATTTTCTATGGACAGTGTTCTGCTAACTTGGGTATTCATGATTTACAAAATTAAAATTCTGTTTTCTCACCAAATTTACGTGTGTCTGAAATATAGTTAATTTAGTGTTTTGGTTTTTTTAAAGATTTATTTATGCATACAAGAACTGGGGGAGAGGGGTTATGTGTGAAAGGATTCATCAAAGACAGAGTGGGGAACAAAACCAGTGGCTCTACTGAAATACACTGCTGAGGGACCACAGGGAAGAGGAAAGCTCTGCTTTGCCATGTGGGATAGATCCCTGGCTGATGCAGTGGCTGGTGATAGCTTGATAGGCTGAGACTTAGCCTCTGCCCCGCAGGGAGGTCCTGTTTTAGGAATTAATATTGAGGGTTTGATAATACAGTTATAGGCACTGGCTTCTAGCGCCATGAATTTTCTGGATAAAGAAGGTAACATTGAAATTATTCTACTTAAAACTGAAATTTAAAGATGCTGTTTAGAATACCCACATCTATGAATGCTAAGTGATGCACTTTTTCAAAACAGCAGCTGTAAAGTTACAAACAAGACACTTCCTGTCAATATAGTTAACATTTGTGGGTCCCCTTTCCTAGTGTTCAAGTAACCAAAGCTTACTGGCCTATTTGGAATTCAAAATCAAGTAACCAAAGCTTACTGGCCTATTTGGAATTCAAAAATGTTAACCTAGAATTTTAACTCATTAGCCAGTCTCAACAAATATTAACATTATGTTAGTCTGAAAGTTTATTTCTCATTTCTGGAGGTTACTACTCTTTGAAAGTATTGACTGAAGGGGGAAAAAATACCATAGGGTGTAGTAAATATAAATAAATGTCTTTGAATACTTATTTAACATTTGATCATAAAAATTTCTGAATTAGAAGATCCATTTTTGTTAAATTTTCTGTTTTTTTCCCCTTGGTGGCTGTCCTATTGGGAAATTTTAAAATATTTGCCTGGTATGTGTAGAAACCTAATTTTGTGAACTTAACGAGGTTTTTCTCAATTGGCAGAATGACCCCCCAGTCATCAAATTTGGATTGATTTATTAATTTTTATTAGGGCAGATCCAAGTTAATTGGTGGCAAGTTTCTTTGAAAAACTGATACTTTGAAATTTAATTCTAGAAGTGGCATTTATAGCATTAGAGCAAAAAGTTGTATAGTCCTCTAGAATTTTTCATTCTACAGTAGAAACTGGAGTAACCTTCCATAAGCAAATATAATTTCCTTAGATATCACCAGTTAACTGCTCTGAATTTTTTCTTAGCTGTAATCCCTGTGGGCCATTAGTCTTAATGGAAGAAGAAAGGCAAGGCCTTCTGTCAGTCACATAAGTCTTTTTAGATAACTAACAATGAAAAGTTCTACCTGGGCAAATCCTAATTCAGGTATTAGTTTTAAAGAATGACAGTTTATAAATTTATTTCCCTATTACTGCAGCTGCATTCCAGACTGATAAAATGATATAAACTTCAGTAAAGAACATGTCAAAAATCCATGTTTTTATATTTTAGTCTCCTTGTTTGTGTTACAGGTAATCATAATTAATCTTCACAAGGCTATTCATATAAATAAGACTAGATGCTAGAATATACTAAACACATTAAGAGCACCAAAAAATTAAACAAAATGAGAGCAGAAGCTGCATCTTATATTTCCCCAATATTTTAAAATTTCCCAATAGGACAGCCACCATGGGTAAAGACAAGGAAATTTAACAAAAATCTGGATTTTTTTAAGCCAAAGCCTAACACAGTGCCTGGCATATTTAGATAAATCTCTAACAAAATTAGAACCTTCATCTGTATACCTTCTCTTAATTTAACAAAATTAAGGACTTGAAAAAATATTGTTGAATATAGTAGTGTTATTCCTCTAGGAATCTACACTTGGGAATAAATTTGAGGAATAAGTTAGCTCCCTGGTTGGGGATCAAACTCATGGTGGCTGGAGATAGCTTGATAATGCTGAGACTTTAAACCCTGCATCACTAGGAGGAGTACAAATGCAATGTATTTTTAAATACAGCGAAAGACATCTGGCAGGTAACTGGACAAAATGACATAATATAATTATATACCACACACATCAGCATCACAGCCTTCTTCCTCCCTCTATGAGAGTCATGTTTGATAGTGTTTACTTGTTATGTGTGAATAATAAAGCAAGAGACTTCTACAGGAATCAGGTTGAAGGGAGGACTGAAGTAAGGGACCAGTTGTCCAAAGGCATCAAATGTAGTGACAATTTGGAAAAACTGAGATTTCCCAGGTCTGTGAGCTTGCTGAAAGGTCAGCTGTTAGGACTCACTGAACAGATGTGGCATTAACAAAAGCTCTGCCATTATTCCTGCCAGCTCTCAGAAGCCCCTGTGAGGAATAGGAAGAATTTGGCTGTTTCCCAAATAATGCACTAATGCAGCCAACTGTATCAGAAGATGACCTATAAGATAAAAAGGTCACCTGCAAGTCAGTTTTGCCTTCCATGCCTGCCACAGTGGGGATAGGACAAGTGTAGCCTGAACAGCACTACTGCATACATAGAGTAGAGGAGCATTCAATGTCAGTGTCCTCTTATTTCTGCTCTGGGTTGTGCTGCTGGGCAGTGTGACAAGGCAGGAAGACAGCAAACTTCAAGGGAACATTTAGCAGGACCACACCCTGAATAGTTCTCACTCCCATCAGCTAAAGCTGGAAGCCCTTAGCTTAATCTAAAATGCCTGGACCAGAATCTACAGGAAATTGGCAACGTTTTCAATTTGGGAGGTGGCACTGAGACTCCTGGCTGGGACTCAGACTAGACTTGGATACTGAGTTCAATAGTATCAACCTAAATTTCATCTCAGCTGCTTTTTTTTTAAAGTTAATGAACATAACATGTAAATACATGCTTGAAAAATATGATCTATGCCTAATTCATTAATATTGATCAAAAGCAACTATACAGAAGTGTAATAGGAACAAAGAATGAGACTTTCTAAGAATTGGCCAATAAAATTGATTTTGAAAAATGAGATCAGAAATTTAATATTTAACATTTACTTTCATTGAATAAATAATGCATTATTTGGCACTAATTCTGCTTTTGTGTATTCTTGTCTTTTGTCACATATCTATTGTTTCTATAGTTAATGATAAATGTACATAGCATTTGAAATTTTAGAAAGTGATAAAATATTTTCATTGTTATTTTTTAAATTAAGGTAAGGAAGCTGCATTCATTAAAGAGTAAGTCCACAAGTGTTAGTTAATTGTTTTCCCTATATTTAATGAAATGAAAATATGAGGGTTTTTCCATTTTCATTATGATGACTTTTCCAATTATAATTTGCCTTTGTATTTCTAGGATTCTTAATTTAGATAAATGTATTCACTTTTTAATGTTCTGTTCAATTCAGTTGATCTATACTTTGTTTAGATTTTTTATTATGAATTGGTGAGTGAGATTGGCCTGTCAGTTTTTACTTTTCTTTAGTTTGAAATTAAAATAGTATCTTACTCAGGTCTTGATTTTTCATTTGGTCTCTCTACTATGCATCTTTAACAATGCAGCTAGTAATTTAAATATAAGACAATGCTCAGGTTTTTCTTCAAATCAAATACATCTTTCGAATTTTTATACATAATCCTATTAGTTATCTCCTTAGAATCCTGAGTTGGCTTCCTTTTTACTATGAGCCTCTCTAATGTTCTTCAAGCCTTTTTCTGAATAACATTCTCTCCTTTTCCTCTTGCCCTCCTTCTACTGTCCCCAATTCCCTCTCCCTTAGCCACACTGCCCTACTTGCTGTTCTTTGAACATGCTAGATTGTCTTGTTTCTGATGGTTTTCTCTGCCTAGAAACTCTTTCTTCAATCATCTGCTTAGCTAATCCCCTTACTTTGTTCATCTTTGCTCGACTAGCATGGCTTGTAGACCTATTTAAGTACTTTAATATGGCAAACTTCCCAAATACCAGACTGTCCATTTCTTTTACCTTCTCCACTTAAGGTCCTTCTTTCTTTTTTCTGTAGAAATTTTCATCATTACCAATGATTTTTTTTTGAAATTTACTGCCTCATTCCTATAAACTATAAGCTCCTTCAAGACAGAGTATTTTTTGTCTGCTTTGTATGGTAATATATCCCAAAAGTGTTCATCAGAACTTAGCACAAACTGAAAGCTCAAAAAGCATTTAAATCAATATAAAATTAATGAAGTCAAATTTATAATCTCACTCTTCTTCTTAAATACTTAGCTGGATTTCCATTCCTCTTCAAATAAAGGGCAATATTTCTGTTTATCTTACAAATCCACATATATACTCCACTTATTTGGACGGGCTCATCTCTTATCATTCTTCTCGTACTGCAAAATACAGAAATACTCTCTGTTGTTGGAACAGGCTAAGCTTTATACTATGTTAGAATCTTTGGTGCATTTAGTCCTTCAGCCCTCACTCAGGTCCTTCACTACTCAGTTTAATTTCATTCTCCTACCGTAATGGCTCTCTCTAAATATTTTTCACTGTTATTTTCCTTAGACCACCCATTTTCCTGTTACATGTAATGGTATAATGGTGTTATCCATATGTGCTGTCTTTTCTATTAGAATATTTGCCCAGTAAAACAAGAGCACCTCTTTTTCCCTTGAATATTTGAAAACCATTCTGAAATATCTTAACCTATATTAATATGACATGTTGAATGGTTGACAACTATTTATGAATGTCTTAGAATGGAGTGGACAACAAAATAAGAATAGGAGTGGATAAACATTTAATTGCAGCGCCCAACTTTGGGTCATATCTTTAAGAAATGCATCATGTTAATATAAATCCACAAATAAGAGTGGGGTCACCAATATATAACATTTTCAAGCTACAAACCAACATCTGGAAAAAAACTTCCAAAGCTAAGTTGCATTTGAATTGGATCAATATTCATCGATGTGAAGATTTATTTGCTGTGGTTAAAGGGTCCAATTTAACTTGTTCTGTACAGTTATTTTATATATTTTTGATGCTCTGAAACAGTGTACAAAGCTTTATGGTGGTAAGCAGTTATACTCCATAGCAAA